TGGCTACACACAAGGAGTTTGTTGGATAGGTGGTCCTACACTCATGCATCTACCCAACGGCATGAGGATTATTCTCTTGAAGACTAGGACAGTCAGACCACATGTGCACGCATCAAGGCCACAAACTGCACGTCATTTTTAATTTTAATATTATGTTGCCAGTAGACTATAAAAAGAGGGGGCAGCTATGGGAAAAAGTAGCGGGTCATGTGTTTGTTTTATTGTATTTTGTTTTCTTTCATAAGAGCATTTTACTTGTTAGGTGCAACAATTCCTCTTCAATACGTGAGTGTGCATGCGCCTATTTTTCCCCATTTGTTCCTGCTCGAAGATTCGATCGAAGGCTCAGAGTACCGTTGTCTTTCAACTTCGGATCAAGTTGGTATCAGAGTCTCTCCCTGTGGATGGTGAAGACTCGCTTTTGTTACATTAAGACTGGTGAGACTCCAGGACAACTGGTCACCTTTCAAGGCGAGCACCCGACGGCCCTGACAATTGCGTCTACATCAATGTCAACTAACAAAACTCCAGCTGAAGCTAGTTTGGCCGAACAAGTGTCCAAGCTCTCCGCTGATATGGGAGATGTTCTTGCTTGGATAAAACAATAAGCCACAACCTCACAACCTGAAGGCGATAGAGAAATCAATGCCTCTGTTAAGGTGAGATTTACGTTTGACAAGATGAGGTTTTGGAGCAGTTTGAACCAACAGGAGGGAGGCATCGGCGATGATGATGATGACAACCACGCCGCCACCGATGCTAGCTTGTCTTCCAAAGCCGATGGACCTTTTAAGGTTGAGGCTAAAGTTGACATACATGGCACAATCGACGCCGACAAGCTTGACTCGTGGATTGACCAACTTAAGACCTACTTTACCCTTCGAGGTTTTAGTAGTGCCCAGAAGGTCAAGTTCGCGCCACTCAAGATGACTGACCACGCCAAGATGTGGTGGAAGGCGTGTGTGGCAAACGGCAACGCCGAAGGCATGACATGGGGCCAATTCAAGCGGCTCCTTAGGCAGGAGTTGCTGTCAAAACAGGAATATAATAATATAAACAAATTAAGGAGTTAGAAAATTCAGGCCTGATTGGGAGCAGCCGTGATATCACTGCCCTGGAAGATTGAGGACCCGCCTGAGCGCCCTGGCGTAGTTTGTCCTCTCTCCCTAAAAAGCGGTAAAAACCCCCGAATCGGCCGCTCTGCACTCGCCGTGAGTCACAGAGCTTATGCTCAGACCGAAAACAGTTGCCAGAAAAAATAGATATATAGAATATGTAGGCCGAAATCTCTTGGAGTCATGAGAGTAAGAAGGAGAAGAGAGTTTAGAAGATTTACAATCTTTCTGTTGGTGTGTTTCTAATGAGCTCCCAAGCCTCCCTTTTATAGTAGAAAAGGTGTAAAACCCCCGCTGAAATCCAAGGGACCGGGTTACGCACGGTATTGCTTCGCGTTACCCGTATGCAGCCGGTTACAAAATGTAATAACAACGTGCAAAAATAAAGGCTTGAGAACGCAAAAAGTGTGGCGTGTGCGGCTGCGGCGTGCGTGCGCGCGAGGCGCGCGTGCGGGCGGGCCGTGGCGAGGCGTGGCGTGTGCGCGGGCGCGCGCGCGTGTGTGGTAGAAACGCAAAGCCCAACAAAAGCCAAATAAGGAAGAGAACACCATTTATACCCTTTCTATTCATCTCATTTTCCGAATGTGGGACTATTCACAAAGGCAAAATTGTCTTTTGTTAAAAAAAATATCTAACAGTCCCCCCAAAAGGCAATATTGACTGAAAATAATAAATCAATAAATAAATCACAAAATAAATATAGATTGGGCAACCTTTCGTATCGTGAATTCGGGAAAGGTAGCTTTCGGCTTTGAACCTTTCCTTAGTGAGTTTATCGCCACCTGAGGGACATAATGGACTAGGCCTTGAATTAAGCTCCTTGAACCAGGTATTGATAAAAACACACACAATACGTTTTATCTATTGAGCTAAGCGGGTTGAGCGTTAAAGGCCATGCTCACAAAAAACCGACTCATGAGAGTTTCTAGGGGTCAGCCCTGCCCCCCCAACCGCGGCCATCACGGTTCCTCTCACGTAGGTAAGTCCTCAAAGGGTACTACAGCTGTTTATTTAATACCCCCCCACAATACACGCGTTGGACTTATTAAGAGTAAAACTCAGCCTAGCCAGCTGTATCATAAGAGCATCGTCATCATAGAGAAGGGGTAGTAGCAAATGCTACATAATGATATATAAATATATCTAGGTCGATGCTCCACACGAGAGTCACTTGTCC